GTGCCCGACACAGTACACATTCTTGGGCTTCTTCCTAGGACAGACATTCTGCCCACATTGTCGCCCTTCATGGACAAGGGCGCACTGAGTGTCCTCATGAGCCCCTGTGTACATTCTTGAAGGCTGAGGCTCCACAGGTAGCATCACGGGCCATCAGTGGACAGTTTGCTTTATTTTATAAACACTGCCCTTTTCTCTGCAGAAATGTACAATTTCGTTTCTCCCATGGTACATGACAAAGTGGGTGTCCCTTCCCCTTACCAGTGCTTCATGTTACTAGTCTTCTTCATATTTACTCACTTAATAGATAATCCAAAAACCAAACCCACTGCCGTCGAGTCGATTCTGACTCATAGCGACCCTGTAGGACAGAGTGGAACATCCCCATAGGGTTTCCAAGGAGCGGCTGATGGATTTGAGCTACCAACCTTTTGGTTAGCAGCCATAGCTCTTAACCACCGTGCCACCAGGGCTCCCTAGTGGCCAAAATGCTGTCTAATGGGCAAAGTGGTGTCTAATTTTAGGCTCATGTCTCTCCTTCCTAAAGAGATCTCTTCCTACATTCATTGGCCATTTGCAGTCCTACTTCTGTGATTTGTCTCTTTAAAATGACACCTTGTTTCCTGGCCCCCAGATGGCAGAAAGAGTGGCCACCTGGCCTGGTCTACCTGATTCTCAAAGAGACAACTCGGCCAGGCAGCCCGGACAGCTGAGCTCACCCTGAGTGTTTGCCCCCACCCCAGACCGTGTATCCCAGGGAAGGCCAGTCAACGACTTCACAGCTTTGTTTCCCAGTGTGCATCAAAGAATCTCTTAATTTTTGCTTTAAAGGACCATCCTCACCTCATCCCCTAGGGGGCACTGTCCACAGAACTTTCAGAATGATGGACGTGGTCTCTCTCTGCCCTGTCCAATATGGCAGACACCAGTCCCATGTGAATAGTGAGCTCCTGGAATATGCTAGTGTCACTTGGAAACAGACTTTTTAGTTAAATTAAATTTGGTTAATTAATTTAAATTGTAATGCTCATAGCCTTTCCACAGTTCCTTTATTTCATTTTCAATGATAACTTTTAATACAGAAGATTATAGTGACAAAATATTTACTGGCTCATTATATCATCACCTAGATAACATCAATTAACATTAAAACCATAAAATAATACACAGACAAGAGGAAAAATCTAAAGAACCAAAGCTAGAAACCTCATTACAACCCAATATGTTGCAGACCCAAAGTTTCTGAGTGAACACGTGTGAGTTACACATCCCTTCTGACTCATATTAGTATCATGTTTTATTGTTATTAGTAATGATATTGCTACTTTTATTATCATCACCATACTCCCTCTATAACCTTTTCAAAGAACTCGTAAATCACCTCCTCAAAGTGAGTTACAGCTTTATAAAAATTATAGAAATAGCTTATGTGACTATGAAATGGAAAAACTGACAATGGAAGAGAAGGCATTTTTAAAGACATAGAAGATAATTTTCCTACATTGAAGATGAATTGAATTGGCTGCACCCTAGCTCTGAACTGTGCCTGCAGGAAGACTTGCTTGGAAGAGCAAAGCTGAAGAGGAGACACATCTCTGTATCCCGAAGAGCGTGCCTCTGAACGTCAGTTCTGAGTGGTATGAACCCATGTTTGTTTCTTTTGCAGTAAAAAATATTTCTGTGATTAAAAAAGCTTGAGAAATGCTAGGCTAGACCAGTTCCTCTCTTCTCAGAGTCTCTAATATTGTAGCATGCATTGCAAATCTACAGGATAGAGAGGCAGTGTGCCTACTTATTTGGATACCAGTTTTTTCAGGGAATTTCTTGAAAGATTAGGGTCCTACAGATGACCTTTTAGGCGATGCTGTGCTGGGCTCTGA